CCATAAAAACTTTGTGCATGGAAATGAAACCCAAAAACATAACAAAGAAAATAGAAAGCAAAGGGCAGAATAGTGTACAGAGTATATTATCATTTGTGAGCTTGAGAGAGAACAAGCATGGCAATGGGTGGGAGCTTCATCACTTATTAACTTTTTGAATTCTGAAATACATGCACATAAGTGCAAAATTAAAATACTTTTTTCCATAATTCCAAAATATTCTAAAATAAACATGTGTTTCCTTTTTGTAATAATTGTATTTAAAGAAAACTTCAGAAATAAAGCACCTTTAATTGCCATACAACCTTTGGAGTGAGTTCCTCATCATTTTAAAGCCACTTATGTAGCGATGATGTTCTGAATGAACAGTCTGAAAATAGAAAACTTTGTTACCCGCATTTAAAATACACATTCAGCCTGGCTGGTGTAGCTCAGTAGTTGAGCGTTGACCCATGAATTAGGAGGTCATGGTTCGATTCCCAGTCAAGTCAGGGCACATGCCTGGGTTGTGGGCTCGATCTTCAGTAGGGGGCATGCAGGAGGCAGCCCATCGATGATTCTCATCATTGATATTTCTAGCTATCCCTTTCCCTTCCCTTCTGACATCAATGGAAACGTATTTATAAAAAGATAATAAAATACACAGCCATCTTTCTAGGCTTGGGTCTAATATATACTGTTTTCCTCCTACTTAACATTTATGGTTTATGTCAGGGGCTCTAAACCTTTAGTAAGCTAAAGATTAGCCCAGGGAGGGTGCTAAAATGCAGATGCTCAAAGCCCTCTCCCTGGACATTCGGGGTCAGTGGGTCTGGGTGGGGCCGTGGATCTGCATGTTAACATTACCACAGGAGACTCCCATGTAAGTGCCCACAGACCACACTTTGCAAAACATTCATCCATCACTTAAGGGAACCCAGCTTTTTTTTTTAATATATAAAAGTGATAATCCTAGGTAGTACAGACTTGAGATCTGATGACTCCCCCCACACCCTACCTTTATAAACACCTATACGATGTTACATGCCTTACAGTGCAGTCCTCTGTGTACTCACCTTGCCTTCTCTCTCAGCCTTTGGAGAGAGATTCAAGTCTTCATCTAACCCAGTGCTCCACTGTTGTGAAATAAAAGTATGTGACAGAAACCAAAGCATACAGTTCAAATGTTACTCTCTTGGTGTAGGGATCAAGTTTCTCTGCCAGCTGTGTAAGTTCCTAGCCTTTTCCCCCCACAGAGCTCAGCTCTGGATGAGCACAGGGCTAACCCCCTCGACGGCTGAATCTCCAGGGGCTGTTGTTTCACTTAAAGATGTGTGTCTAAGTCACTCTGGCAGCTTCCTGTGCCTTCCCAGGATCTCTGGCGAGCCCTTGCCGCTGTGAATCTCAAAGTGAAAAGACCATCTGAAAAAGGCAGAGTGGGTTTCCCATCTTACAAGAATTTTTTTTTTAATTTGCTTTTATTCTGCTCTTTGCCACCCTATCCCAGGACCCATCTTACAAGAATTTTTAAGCGTGATGGGAAGAGAGGTAGGACGCACAGCGGCAGCTCTCTGCAACCCCCTGGTGGCAGGATGCTCCGTGCGTCCCAGCCCCACCCGCATCCCCGCTCTCACAGTGGACTCAACAGCAGAAGCTCATTAAGTGTCCCCAGCAGCAAGCCCAGGGAGCCCACAGATATCTGCTGGCAAATAGGTTAATCGTGTGAGTGGCAGGAAACAAAAACACACAGTTAGAATTTTACTTCCTTCCGCCCAACCGAGCATTACTGGCTCTACCAACTGTGTAACTCCCTCATTTTTTTTTGTACAGCCTGTGAGCTTACTCTTAATGTACAGATCGCCAAGGCTCAAAGCACAATCCTCACAGCACAAAACATGAATGCCTCAGTCATCACTGGTAAGACTCCAGAGCTTTTTCAGAATTGTCATTCATCCTACCCAGACCTGGAGCCCTCAGTTCAGTGCTTGTCCCAGAGGCACGACTGAGACGGCTTAGCCTGAGGAACAGAGGGGACTGAGAGAGACGGCTCACAGCTGGACCCTCAGCGTCCACCGAGATAGAATAAGCACATCCTGGGGTGGCGATGAGGGGGGCGGCTCAAGTCCTTTGGGTAAAGAACTGCCTGGAAGAGACTGACTCTTGTGTCTAGATTCTTCTTCTTCAGGAATCACTAGGAGGGACAAATTTAGTCAAGGAATAAATGCAGCCCTGCCCAAGACCGGGGGGCCACTGGATGGCATTCTGGGGTCTCTTCCAGCCCTCAATAGCTCCTGTGAAGAGGCCAGATGGGGCAATGTGAAGACGAGCAAGAGCCAACGTACTTGTAAGATTCAGATAGAAACGACTTCACCCCTGCACACAGCTCTCGCGGGGAGTACACGCAGCTCTGAGGTTCAAGTTTTTTGATGACAGAGAAGCCTTTTAAGGAGGCTGCTTGCTGGGCTAATGGTCAGGGCCTGCGTGGAAATTCAGAGCAAAAGGCCTTTCTAAATTCTGGAAATCAAGATCGCACCTAAAGCTTAATGGTCTGGTCAGAATGGCAAATACATATAGTCCCTCTCATCCCCGCCAAGCATTTAATTGGTTCACACCCCACTTTTCCTAGAAGTTAATCCTGGCATTATGCAACCTTTGAGAAGAAATGAGCAAGGAGAAGTGACAAACAGTTCCCAGAAAATCCCAAGGAAGAGGGGCTTCGGGCAACCTAGGCTCTGCCTCATGAAAAACACAGTGACATTTCCAAAGAGCACTAGTGGTCCACTCATACGCTGTTCTCTCTACACTTATGAGAAGTCTCTACCTTGCTGAGATTAGTCATTGAATCTGATGTTCCTAATTGAGAGTTACAGGCACCTTGTTTTAGGGGAAAGTCTGAATTATAGTCTTTTATTTTTAGTTTTATTGCTTAAAGTATTACAAAGGGTGAATTATAGTCTTAAAATGAAAATTAATTCTTTCCTAGAATAATGCTCATTGATCAAAGATATTTCTTCTACCATGGGCCCATGTGGCTCAGTTGGTTGAGCGTCAATGTTTCTCTCTCTCCCTCTCCCCTCCTCTTTCTCTCTAAAAATGAATAAAAACATATTTTTTAAAAATATTTCTTCCTTGAATTTAGCTTTTATAAAATGAAAAATCCCAAGTAAAATATCAGGAAAATGCCTGGCTGGCATGGCTCAGTGGTTGAGCATCAACCTATGAACCAGGAGGTTGTGGCTGGATTCCTGGTCAGGGCACCTGCTCGGGTTGTGGGCTCAATCCCCAGTTGGGGGTGTGCAGGAGGCAGCCAATCAATGATTCTCTCTCATCATTAATGTTTCTATTGCTCTCTCCTTCTCCCTTCCTCTCTGAAATCAATAAAAATATATTTTAAAAATATCAGGGAAATGAAGAAAACCTTAATAAAATCAATCAGAAGACCAAATCATGCGTCTTCAACAGGGGTCCTCAAACTACGGCCCGTGGGCCACATGCGGCCTGCTTAAAACATTTATCAGGCCCGCTGGGTGTTTTTGCCACTGCTGCCTGCTGCTTAGCAGCCGACTGGTCCTGGGCCCGCAGTGTGCATGTGTGGAATGTGCGCCGTACTCTCCGACTCTCCTCCTTCTCTCTGTCTTTCAACTCCTCCTCTCAGTCTCCGGTGTGATCGGCTGAGTCACGAGCTTGCCTGTGCAGACCCTGCTGCTGCTTGAGGACCAAGGTAAGAACAAGTTAGGATTTTTTTTTTTTTAAGTTAGGAGGTCTATATATATATATTTTTTCAGTTAGTAGGTCACTTCAAAATAAGATATGTGCAGTGTGCATAGGAATTTGTTCATAGTTTTTTTTTAAACTATAGTCCGGCCCTCCAACGGTCTGAGGGACAGTGAACTGGCCCCCTGTTTAAAAAGTTTGAGGACCCCTGGTCTTCAATATAATGAAAACTTGCATGTTTGGTAGGGATTCTGTTTCCCATACTCTCTACAGATCCACTTCAGACAGAAGTCATGAAAGAAAAGACTTCCTTATGAGCCAAAGGGACTTTCTGCTCAATTGGCTCACTCTGAGGGACAGTCAAACTCCCAGTCAGCAAAGGGCTGGCGAGAGGAGCAATGCATAGCAGAGTTTTCAGCAATGGCTGAAACCCCTGGGGTTAGTTGGCCACAAAATGTGACAACTGAGAACATCTCCTCTGTACTCCTTCTAGAACTAAACTTATCTCTCTCTACTACTGGACACGCTTACTTTATTTTGTCCACCACACCACTCCTGGCCAGACTGTATGCTCGGAGAACTTGGGGTATGTCTGCTTTTCTCATTATCATATCTCAAGCACCTATCACAGTGCTGCATTCAATGAACAAAAGCTAACTTTAAATTGAGCTGAGATTCTGCTGTAATAAATAAATCAGGCAAAAATGTGAAAAAATTAATAGTAAGGCCTTCATTACTTAATAATATCTCATAGATATTAAAGTTACTTTCATAGTATCAGAATTAATAACTGAATTCTGAAGTGGGAAATCTGCTGAGGAATCATTAATTGCTTAAAATCTTAAGTTTGGAAAACACTATTGCTTTAAAACTAGAGTCCTCTTACTCCTCAGTGTGATCCATTAAAAAGTTTTTAATGGTTTCCTTTGCTCAATTTAAATGAACCCAAACTCTACCTCTGTACCGGAAGGAGAAGGAACACTGAAAGCAAACCTATTACCACTATTTACAGTTTCTTACCAGAGGCCCACGGGCAGAGGCACTGCTTTCTCTAAACAGGAAGCCACCACGCAGCCAGCGAGTCTGGATTCCGCTTCCAGGGCTCCCCTCTGTACACACTCGAGAATTTTTTCCGGCTGACTTCATCATTAATAACTATTTATCAAATCTGCCCATATTGACTAGGTGAAATCCCTCCCCACAGGTCACCCAGGACTTTGTCTTCTCTCATCTTCCTTCAAAACAGAAAGAAAAAAACAAAACTTTCAACTTAAATTTCCCAGGGGGAAAAATGCCAGAACTATGAAAAGACTTACAGAGAACATTTACTTTTAGTGTACAGTCCCATGGACCTGACCGTCACAACAAACAGCTGGCTGTTTTCACAGTCAGCTCCCCAGTGCCTCTGTAGTGCTCTTAAACCATCTCTCGACATCAGGACACAAACAGGTCTCCGCTCCAGTATGTAATTTTTATAATTGCATCAAATACACAGTGAGTATCTTTCAGGGAATTTCACCAAAACCAAAGAGAAGTTCGAAGATAAAACTGCAGCAGATCAGGGAAAACAGGTAGAACTGCGCGGTCACAGGACTAGCCTGCAAGCTGTCCTCAGTCTGGGGCACCTGAACAACCCCACAAGTCCACGGCCAAGGGCTAGGAGGGCCAAGGCGTGCAGCAGAACTGCTCCTATCTCCCCTCCAGGGGTCTAAACTGTAACTCGCGCTCTAACTGCTCTGCAGTCAGGGTGCCCTGGATGGCTTCGCAGCCCGGGTTGAACACAGAGTAGGCGCTTTTCTCTCCCTCCTTCTTCTCCCCGGGACCTCGCGTCCCGACATACATCCAGTAGAACAAGGACAGGACAAAATAAGCCAGGCCAAATTCCAGTTCCACAAACAGTCCCAGCAGGATCAACCAGAGAAGAACCTTCAAGAAGGTGATGCTGGTCAGGAAGGACTGGTCCCGCGGCAACGGTGGGGGAACGGCTGTCCTCCGTGGGGGCTGGGACGTGCTGCTCCCAGGCTGAGCGGCTTCCTAGGACACAAACAAGCAAAGGTAAACATAAAGGGTAATGAGGCTGAGAGGATGGAAACCAATCTGGAGAGGCAGCTCTCATTGTCCCCGGAAGGCTTCTGGCTCATTGATTTCTATTTCCTTGCCCTGCTCTCTAAAACAATCATCTCCCAAAGAGCTCTTGTGCCCTGCTCCGACCGGCCCCAGACCGGTCAGCACTTAGTGAGATGACCCGATGAAAACCCTACAGCACTCAGATGGGTTCCCTTTGTGGGAGGCACTTCCTCAGAGGAGTCTGCTGCTAACAAGAGCTAATGTGTGCCCCACACAGAAGCCCCCAGTCATTGGTAATGCAATAGCCACGCGTATGCTTCACACAGAATCGATATGGTAGTTGATTTGATTAGATGAGCTAAAATTTTGAGTGACATGATTCTAAAATGAGGACTACACCAGAAACAGGAAAGAAAACCCCCTCTACATATTAAAAAATAAAAATTGCTGTTACAGCTACAACCTTTCCATCCTATACATCCCCAGGCCAAGGCAGTGCCTCCTAAGTGGACTCTGGCCTCCTATCTCTTCCCTCCCCACGCCATCCTGTGTACATACAGTTGCTAAATGAATCTCCTAAAACACCCATCAACCTCCTGTTCACAAGCCTTCAACAAATTTTTATTGCCAAGAGGTTAAAATTTAAACTCTTTGGGCTGCAATCCAAAGCCTTCCATTTATTCAACAGATAGAAATGCCAATACACAGGCCGCTGTGCTGGTGCTAACGGGAGACACGGGGATTTGGGCCATTTTAGGGAGCTGGGTCTCTACACCAGTATTTTTTCCAAACCTCCTTGGGTTTGACCTAGAATAAAAGATACATTTTATACTGTGACCCAGCATGCATGTATATGTATATGTATATGTATATGTATATGTATATGTATATGCATGTGTGTATGTATATGTAATAGAAAAAAAGTTTCACAAATCAACAAATATCTTCACAGCATATGAAGCTGTTATTTTCTATTCTAATTTTTATTTTATTTTAACGGAGGACTAGATTTCTCTAAATTGATGTCACCACTTACTAAAGGGTCATGACTTACCATTTGAAAAATAGTCTAAAAAATTTCCTGCACAGCACAATCTGCAACTGTACAAATGAACCCTCTACTCCAGTTCCACTGGTCTCACTGCCCAGGCCATTGCCTGTCTGGCCTGGAATCGCCTCTGGTCCTCTCCATGCCTCGGCTCCTTGCCTTCCTTCCAGGTAGGCATGACTGGTGCGCTGTGCATGCCTCGACCTTCTCCACCACCGAGAAGGTGCCCTCAGCCTTCCGAGCACCAGCTGGCTCTTTCTCACTGAGCACCAAACTGTTCAGCTAGTGTCTTTTTTATTTATTTATTTTAGTAAGTTAAACTCACAAACAAAACAGACACAGATACAGAGAACAGACTGATAGCTGTCAGGGGCTGGGTGGAAAAGGTGAAGGGAATAGCAAAGAAAAAAACCTCATGGACACAGGCAGCAGTATAGTGATTTCCCTGAGGGAAAGGGGGGTGGGGGCAGGAGGAGAGGGTAAAGCGGGGGATAACTGGTGATAGAAGGAGACTGGACTTGGGGTGGTGAACAAACAATACAATAATACACAGATGACTATTAAAAAGAAATTGTCTCAAAAAAATAATAAACCTGAGGTAAAATAATACTGAAGTATCTTTTTTTTTATCCTTTACCTGAGGATATGATTATTGATTTTAGAGGGGAAAAGAGAGAAAGAGATAGAAATAGAAATAGAAATAGAAATAGAAATAGAAATAGAAATAGAGATAGATAGATAGAGAGAGAGAGAAACATTGATGTGAGAGAGAAACATCAATTGGTTGCTTCCCATACTCGCCCAGACCGGGGATCAAACCCTTTTGGGTGTAGGGTACAACGCTCCAACTAACTGAGCCACCTGGCCAGGGCTGAAGTGTCTCTTTTAATACAGGTCACCTGTATCCCTAGATTGTCACCATGAAGACACAGACTGCCATATATTGTCCTTGGTTGTCTCCAGAGCCAAACAGCACCCACACATAGGTTCTCAATCCACAGAAGAACTTTTAGTTCATTTCTTCAGTGATATCTCTTCTTCATCACTTCATTTTATTTTTATAGGATGTTCTTTTTTTTTCTTCATTCATTTTAAAAGGGATCACAACTATATTTGGTCTCAATAAAATATGCAGATCACCCTGGCCAGCTGGCTCAGTTGGTTGGTGCATCATCCTGTACACTGAAAGGTCACTGGTTCAATTCCCAGTTAGGGCACATACCTGAGTTGTGGGTTCGATCCTGGTTGGGGCACATGCAAGAGGCAGCCAAAAGAAGTTTCTCTCTCACATTTCTCTCTCCTCTCCTCTCCTCTCCTCTCCTCTCCTCTCCTCTCCTCCTTCCTTTCTCTCTAAAAATCAATAAAAACATGTCCTCAGGTGAGTATTGAAAAAAAATACAGATCGTCTGATTTATATTGCTTCAGAAATTCTATTTTGTTAGAACCTTCTTTCTTTAGCATCAATACTGTAATTATCTTTTCAGTAAAGGCCCTTAACATATCATCAGCAAACACCCCACCCCAACAGACATTTATTAAATAGAAAAAGGTCCCTTTCTGATTTGACAGTGTACACCAGGGGTCCTCAAACTACGGCCCGTGGGCCACAGGCAAATACAAATATTGTATTTGTTCCTGTTTTTTTTTACTTCAAAATAAGATATGTGCAGTGTGCATAGGAATTTGTTCATAGTTCTTTTTTAAACTATAGTCCCGCCCTCCAACGGTCTGAGGGACAGTGAACTGGTCCTCTGTTTAAAAAGTTTGAGGACCCCTGGTGTACACAATAGGGAAATCCCTCAGGTCTTAGTGGGAACTAATACAATCAATTTATATTTAAGACTACTCTGGCTGCCAGGTAGAGAATGGGCTGCAAGGATAGACGTAAGGAAATTGTTAGTAGCAGGAGGCCCAGTAAGAGAGGACCAGGCAGAGATTAAGGTGGTGACCCAGATGCCAGAGACAAATGACTGATGGATACAGAATACATTTTGAATGTGTATGACTTGAAATTTATAGCAAACCGAATTGATTTTACTATTGAGGGAGTATAAAAATAATGCTTGCACCATCATTTATTTATTGAGTGCCTTCAAAACGCCTGATCTCCTGTAATCCAGGCAGGCACTGGTATTCCCAATTTACTAGTAAGGGATCACTGAGACCGTAAGTAATTCCCCTCAAGTCACACACCAGGTGATAGGCAGAGATGAGGCTGGTCTAGGATCTGAGAATGGTCTCCCTCCAAAACCCATGTTACTTCCTTAGGAGCCTTTGTGGGGGATGGTAAAGGGGAGGGTAAAGAGCTAGTAGAAGGTGGGGAAGATTAAACGAACTGGCAAAGGGACAAAGAAAGGAGAGGGGGGATATGGGATGTTCTCAACCTCGCTTGGCCTTTGCTCCAGTTCCAGGGCACCTTCTGTTGTGTGGCAGTGGGAGGGTTTGTGGTCTCACAGCACATGTAGGCACAGTTTAGGGAAGATGCTTCCACTCCCCAATACCAAGCTGCTTCCCACCTCCGGGCCTCTGCACTTGTACTAGTATTTCCCTCTGAGACGAATGCCCCTGTCCCCTCCCGTCACCTGGCTGGCTCCCTCTGCTCCTATACACCTCAGCAAAAACGTCACATGTGGCCTGGCCTTGTCCCCAGGTTTCTGCAAGAGTGGCTCCTTCTTATGAAATGCCACCTCCTAGTGAGGTCCTGCCTGCCTACCCAATTTAAAGCAGCACTCTGCACCCCTCACCCCAGTTCACTAGCACAGTGTCTGCTCCTCATTCCCCTTTCATAGCATTCACCATTCTCTTCTTTCATTGTCTCCTCTCCAAAGGCTGGTTCTGTGAGCAGCGTTTTGTGTGTCGCTTTCACTGTGTCCCCCCGGACTGAGGGCAGTAGCTGGAACACAGTGGGCACATGACAGGATTTTGCTGAGTGGTGGCAAGGGAAAGGAAGACACAAAAAGGTGACTCCTGGATTTGAGGGGCTGATGCAAAGACTGTGCTTAGCCAAGTGGCTCCAAAGGAAAAGCACATTTAAGCAGTGGGCCAACCTGAGCCAAGGGTTGGAGGTGAGGAGTTGCAAGCCAGGTGTGGGCAGTAGGCCCTGGGACTAGATAGTGCCCGGTGGCTGGTGGGAGATATGCCTGGGAGAGAGGCAGGGCGTTTCTACAGGATTAAAAAAAGTTACAAGCATTTTTGTCCTATTATGGCAGAAGCTTGTCACAGAAAGGAAGCAATTTGAGAGTGGGGGAAGGAGGATGTGCTCGCTTCCTTATCAATGACTACTGAAAATTACAAATAGAAGGCTTAAGATATCTGACATGCCACTGTGTGCCACCAAAATTATTAGGCAGAGATGGATTATAAAATAAAATAAAATGTAATGAGAATCGTCACACCAGAGCAACCCCAGGAATGATAAGTGAGTGCATGAAAATGAGCTTAGGACAGACACAGCTTGATTAATAAGAACCAACTGCAGGTCCAGCACTCCTCTCATCCTGCGGTCAAGCCACCAGCTTTTGGGTTTTTAACAGCAGAAGCTTTCTCCAAGTTCAGATTCTCTGGGTCCAACCCAGTGACCTCATATTCCTCTGATAATGAGACATACGGTCAGAAACTCATTGTGTGGATTAGACATCGATTTTTAACTGCAGGGAGAAAAAAGGGTGGGGGAAGTGGATTCTAAAATCTTAAGCAATTATGCTCAGGGAGTTCTAATTGACAATAAAGTTACCCTGAGACAAACTGCATGCTAGGAAATAGATTGTTTGAACCCTATAGCACCTTTTCTGGGAGTCAGTTAGGACCCTGCCTGTCATGGAGAACAATATCAAACTTAAGTAACAATTCATGATTTTTAAAAAAATTCCCTAAAACCAGATGTTGTGGCCCTAGCTGGTTTGGCTCAGTAGAGCATCGGCCTGCAGACTGAAGGGCCCCGGGGTTCAATTCCACTGAGGGCACGTACCTCGGTTGCAGGCTCCTCCCCAGCTCAGGCCTTGGTCAGGACTCAAGCAGGAGGCAACCAATCAATGTGTTTCTCTCACATCCAATATTTCTCTGTCTTTCCCTCTCTCTTCCACTCTCTCTAAAAATCAATGGAAAAATATCCTCGGGTGAGGATTGAAAGAAAACCCAACCAGATGTTGTGTAATAATAAATGAACTTAATTTAACAAAAAATTAAGGGAATAAGGAACGTTTTAAGTTTCAAAAGGAATTTTTGGCTCTTATTATACATCTGAGGTACAAAGGCCATGCCACAGATGGTCTCAAAGCACGGATTTTCCCTTGAGGTTTTGTCCTGTATACCCCCTTAGACATTCCAATCTCATGTGCAGCTCACCTGGCCACTTTATTCATGAGTGAAAACTAAAGAAAGATACAGGGATGTGAATTAAGTTCATCTGTAAAATAAAAGCTACCAAAAGGATTAAAGGGCGAGAACACTATCATACTAATTTAAATACTGTTTTTATCTTCAACATTTAGTATTGAACTTTTTGCTAGTCTAGTTCAACGTCAAAGGCAGCACACTAGGGCAGTCGGCCTCTGGAAGTTACAGCCACCACACTTTTGCAAGTTTTATATTCAAACGTAGGTTACTGGCTGCATGTGGTCCAGGTACGAAATCAAATGAAGCCTTAATTGCTGCCATTTTTTAATCAGCATCTAATGAGACCTTTCACCCTCCATTAGCGGAGGGCTGTGGCTCAACACGGTTGTGGAGAGGTGTCTGAGAGCCACAGGGTGTCACAACGATAACTCAACTCCTTGTTAATAACTCAAGGGCAAAGGAGCTTTCTTCCAGGACCCCAGACCAGAGGCTTCCAACGACTTTCAACAGACTTTCAACGGGGAGGACGAGAGGTGGCGGCAAGAAGTTTTTAAATGCAATACCTGACTACTTAGGGGCACTGACCTCTTTCCCCTTAGATTGTAAAATTTAAAAAATGACAACAGCCAACACAACAACAGCCCATCTGTTGTGAATGAATCAAAATTACACCTTTTTTTGGGTCAGATAGGCAAAAACATGTTTTTTTGGTGTACCACAGAAGTTTAGTAATTGTGTGCTATGAGGTGAAATAGAATGAAAATCGCTGTCCTAGACCTTCGCTTCCCACCTGGAATCAGGAGCTGCAGGAAAGAAGTTGTCAAATCCACTTATCACTGGGGTGACAAAGAGACCAAGGCCCAGGCCGGGAGCAGGTGGGAGGCGCCCGAAGCCCCGCCCCCTCCAGCGAAGGCCCGGCGAAACCAGAGGAGGCGTGGCCTGTGGGCCAGGGAGTGTGGGCGGGGCCGCTCCTCCGCCACAGTCTGCTCCTCACGGGGGCGGGGTTTTTGTTTTCCAGATGTTTCTTTCTAATGAATTGACCATTACATTTCCTAAGTTCTGAAATGGCCAACAGACCATAGAAAGACATTTCTTTAGGCTCCTGCTTGAAACCAACAGCTTCAGCAAACTGCTGGCCTTGATTCAGGGCCAACAAGACAGTTCTTACCCAAGGTTTTGTTTTCCACGGTTTCAGTTACCTGCAGTCAACCAATCCAAAAACATTAAAATGCCAGAAATTGCTGGGTTCGGCCGCCAGCCCGGCCCGTTTCCGGGCCTCTCGGAACTCGGCTAACCGCTGTTCCATGGCGCGCGCCTCGCTTCCTGGGAGCCCGCCGGGAACCGGCGCTCGCGCAGCCCGGCGCCTGGCCGCAGTGCGCCTGCGTCGCGCGGCTGGGTGCTGAGCGTGCGCACTGGGCGCCGGGCTCCAGCGTGCGGCGGCTTTGTGACGTTCCGTGGGCTGTCTGTGCTGATGCCCCTCCAAACGCACGTGGATGCATGCGGTGTCCACCTCCTCGGGCACATGGTGAAGAATCTAAAGCGTAGGACTGCTCCATCCTTCCTCTCTAGCCCCAGGCTCCTGCGGCGGGGTGTGTGTGTGTGTGGGGGGGATAGCTCTCATGTGCTCCATCTCACCTCGGGATCTGCTCCCCAACAGGCGAAGCTTGCTGTAGCAGGGGCCAGGTTGAAAAAGGTGGTTCTAATTGACAATAAATTCCAAATTTACTATCACATTCCAAATGCACCACAAGGTGTCCTACGTGATTTTTGTCCTACAAAGTAATTTAAATTCCTTCCCCCGCTCAAATTTCTTCCTTTGTGTGACAAGCTTCTGCCACAATAGGACAAAAATGCTTGTAAGATTTAAAACTTATTGGGGTGCAGCTTAAAATGAAATACACAAATCTGTAAGTGTATGGGTCAATACGTTTGTAATTACGTATAGAGAACGTTTCCAGCGCCCTGAGGGCCCCCTGTGCCCTCTCCCAGTCCCTCTTCACCTTCCAGAAGTTCACAATTCAGGTCAGGTACTGCTAGGTATACTTTTAAAGCTCTAAGCATCTAGTTAAGTGCCACTCACATAATTGAGACACGTATTTCTTGGATCTTGCTGAGTTTGAGTCAAGCAATGAAAACTAGAATGGGGTCTTTTGTTCATTCAACAAATACCAAGAGCTTGCTATGTGCCAGGTATTGTACCTGGCGCTGGAGATGCTGGAGTGAACAAAATCAATGTATTTTCTCCGTGCTTACATTCTAAGTGGAAAGACAGACAACCAAATGCATAACTGCCTATTTGCATTCAATGCAATGTCAGTGCTGATCAGTGCTCTGAAGAAGGGTAAAGTCAGGAACAGGAATGGCGGCGCTGTTTGGAGCCAATGACCAGAAACGACTTCGTTGAGGAGTTGCCGTTGGAGCAGAGCTCTGAATGAAATGAGTGACACCTTCAAATATCTGGAGAATAGTGTCTTAGTCAGAGAAAACAGCAAGTGCATAGATCCTGGGACCTCAAGTAGTGTGCTTGACCTGCTCCCAAAACATCAGGGAAGCCAGGAGAACTGGAGGAGAGGGGAGGTGGGAAAGTGGTAGAAAATAAAGATGCACAGGTATCGAGGGCCTGATCATGTAAGACACCTTGTGGTGCATTTGGAATGTGATAGTAAATGACTAGAGGATTCTGAGCAGGAGATGACATAATATGACTTTTTTTTAGAATTGATTTCCGATAGAGGAAAGGAGAGAAAGAGAAACATTGATGTGGGAGAGAAACATCAATTGGCTGCCTCCCGCATGCACCCTGACCGGGGATAGAACATGCCCTGACCGGTATTCGAACCAGCCACCTTTTGGTGTATGGGACGATACTCCAACCAACTGAGCCACACTAGCCAGGGCTGACATTTTTAAAGACATGCACTGGTTGCTGGAGGTGGAGCCATGGAATAGTGCAAATGTAGGAGGGAAAATACAGTAATATAAGAGAGACTGTGACTCTTGGGGCTAGACGGGTAGTGATAGAAGTGGTGAGAATTGCCGAATTCTGAATATATTATGAAGATTTGAACCAGCAGAATGTGCAGATGGATTGAATGTAGAGTGTGAGGAAAATGAATCAAGGATGATGGATTTTTAGAAAAAAGCGGGGGGGGGGGGCAGAATGACAGATTTTTGCCACACGCCCATCCCACACATACCCTAAGCAACCAAATGATTGATGGTGGGACCCCCTCCTGAAATGGGGGAAGATCAAGAAGAGAGGATTATGGAATAAAGATAGATAGTTTTATTTTGGACATGCCAAAAGTTTGAGATGCCTATTGGACATCCAATGCAGGCAATTGGATAGTAAAAACTAAAATTCAGGGAAAAGTAGGACAGGAGATACATATTGGGAGTCATTAGCATATATATGGATATATATGTTATTTAAAGCTGTGAGACTAGATGAGATAACTAGAGAGTGAGTGTGGATAGCAGAGAAGATATTTTAGGACTGAGCCCTGAGTAATTAGAGATAGTTTGTAAGACAGGAAAGAATGTGGTCATTATACTATGATGACCTCTCATTGAGCAATCACAGAGAAAATTTCTTGCCCATCTTGGTGTCAGGAGTAGGTCTGCTTCTCTCTCTCTCTCTTTCTCTTTGTTTTTTACAGTTTATACATTTATTCTAGAAATCCCCTTTCAGTGTCTTGGGCCCAGATCTGTTGGTACAAAAAGAAAAGTTTATCAGGTAAAGGGGTAGGGAGACCCCCAACTCCAGGAAGTCACAGACAGGTATCATAGAAAACACAACTTGTGTACATTTGTTTAAATAGTGATGGAGCACTAGGTGGTTTGGCTCAGTGGATAGAGCATCGGCCTGCAGACCAAAGGGTCCTGGGTTCGATTCTGGTTGCAGGCTCCTCCCCGGCCTGGGCACTGGTCGGGGCTTGTGCAGGAGGCAACCAATCGATGTGTGTCTCTCACATGAGTGTTTCTCTCTGTCTTTTCCTCTCTCTTCTGCTCTCCCTAAAAATCAATGAAAAAATATCCTCAGGTAAGGATTAAAAAATAAAATAAAGTGTGATGGAAGGAAAACCAAGGAAGATGAGCCAGGCATCACCTAGGATTTTACTGTCATCGTCCAGGTGCCAGGTTCCATCACCGCAGCATCCCAGGACACAGCACGTGCAATGGCTCTGTCCTTCAGCCCTCCTGTGGGGCATCCAGACTGAGGATAGTCAGGGCAGAGTGCTGCCAAAGGCAGGGCCATCTTACCCTGCAGATAGAAGAAGTGGGCGCAGAGAGGCAGTAGATCTGCTTCTCTTGAAGGACTAGTCTCTCATTGATTGTGTTTCCCACTGGATAATCACACTGAGACCTTGGGGCTGTATTTATGGTCTCCATCTAGTAGGCATTAGACTTAAGGCATACGATTTGTGGCCTATTGCAATCAAGGTCCCTAACAGGAAAGATGGCATCTTTAAAAGGGTTACCTAAAGAGAATTTCATGAAGAAGTTAAGTTACAAACGTATGGAAGGATTAAGGAAGCCAGCAAGGGATGGTTCACAGGAAGTGTTACCAGCCTCTAGGCCTTACGCAGAAAGAGGACAGAGTCATCATCAGAACCCAGAAAGACCTGTAGCTACAGGAGAAACTGGAGACAAGAGAGCCCTTAAAGGAGCAGAGGGCAGGAGGAGAAGGGTGGGGGGAGAATCTAGAAGAGCAAACGGGGAATATCCAACCAAATGCAATTGTCATCCCAGCTCCCATCTTGCTCTGGTAAACTTTATTTCCCCTTTGCTTCGTTTTCTGATTTATTGTAAATTTATTTTTTTCTCAATGCTTTGTAAACCTCTTTAAATTCTTTTTGGAAGAGGTTGAAAGAATGGGAAAAAGTAGAGATGATCATGAAAAAACAACTCCTACTGAACTAACTTCATTTCCTTTTTGGATAAGGTTATGAGACTAGTAAATAAGCAGGGTCTCAAAGTGTACTTATAATGTGTAGATTTAATTTTTATTATGAAATATTTTGTACATAACAAATTATGTGTATACATGTATATCATATTTGTAAGTTGTAAGTACTAAAATACCTATATATCTGTGATATTCAGTCTTTGGCCTCAATTTTTCACTCTTCCTTACATCCATGCCATAAGGAAACCAGCAAGGGATGGTATATAAGGACAGAGTATATTTCCCCATTCCTTGTGGGGTTTTTTTGTTGTTTTTTTTTTTGGTTAACCTTCACCTGAGGATATTTTTTACATTGATTTTTTGTGGGTTTTTTTGTTTTATTTTGTTTTTTAGAAAGTGAAAGGGGGGCTGGGGGGAGAGAGAAAAACAGCAATGTGAGAGAGACACATTGATTGATTGTTACCCCCACACGCCACGACTGGGGCTGCGGATTCAGCCTGCAACCAAGGTACGTGCCCTTGACCAGGCTCAAGCCTGAGACCCTTTAGTCCGCAGGCTGATGCTTTAACCACTGAGCCACACTGGGTAGGACCCTATTTGAACTGCACCTTTCAGGTTGCTTTGGCCAATGGGATGATGGCCGATGTTATGCAAGCAGGGGCATGAAGTGTGTTTGTCCTGTTGGGGGCACCCTCTGAATACTTTGCACTGCCATGAGATGAACTTGCAACAGCTAGCCACCTGGTCCAAGAATAATGAGTCACATGGATATAGTCACCCAGCTGACCTGCAGACCTGCAGTTTAACGCTGAGCTGCCCAGCTGAGCCCAACCTGAAACAGCTAACCCCAGCTTACCCAAAAATGTATGAAAAATAAATGCTTATTTTATATCACAGAAATTTTGTGGGTTTTTTTGTTTACACAGAAAAGGGTAACTAATACATAGTTGCTACTCAAGAAAAAGAATGTTTCTTTGTGTGCCTATGGTCCATTCCTGAATACTTCTCACCCCTTCAATCTATTAATACAGTGAGTAACTTTAATAGATTTTCTATTAAACTACCCTACATTCTGGGAATAAACAAAACTCAGTGACTTTATTTCTTTTTAATCTTTATTGTTGAGAGTATTACAGATGTCCCTCTTTTTTATCCCCATTGCCTTCCTCCACCCAGTTCCTGCCCCACCCCAGACCTTCACCATTTTATTGTCTGTGACCATAGGTAATCCATATATGCATATAAGTTCTTTGGTTAATCTCTTCCAGCACCTCCCCTTCCCCCTTCACTCTGAGGTTCATTAGTCTGTTCCATGTTTCCAGGCCTCTGGTTCTGTTTTATTCATCAGTTTATTTTGTTCATTAGATTCCTTGTTTATTTTGTTGTTTAGATTTAATTACTGATAGATATGTATTTATTGCCATTTTATTGGTCATATTTTTCCCCTCCTCCTCCTTCCTCTTCTTAAAGAATAACCTTCAACATTTCATGGAATACTACTTTGGTGGTAATGAACTCCTTTAGCTGTTTCTTATCTGTGAAACTCTTTATATGACCTTCATTTCTAAATGCTAACTTTGCTGAATAGAGTAATCTTGGTTGTAGGTTTTTGCTAGTCATCACGTTGAATATTTCTTGCCACTCCCTCCTGCCTGCAAAGTTTCTTGAGAAATCAGCTGACAGTCGTATGGGCACTCCCTTGTAGGTAACTAACTGCTTTTCTCTTGCTGCGTTTAGGATTCTCTCTTTGTCTTTAAACGTTGAAATTCAAATAGGTTTTCAATATCTTGCTCTCTTCTCCTTTTGGTCGGTACACTTGAAGTTGTCCTAGAGGCTCCTTGCACTATCTTCATATTTTTGGATTCTTTCTTCTTTATGCTCTTCTGATTGTTTTTGTTTGTTTCTTTGTTTTGTTGCTCTTTTTGCTTCCTTATATTTCAAATTGCAGATTTTGATTCTCAGCATCTTCTTTACTGTAAATTATTCTTTATTTCAGTTATTGTATGATTAATTTCTGACTGGTCTTTTTTCATGTCTTTGATTTTCTCACTAAGGTTCTTGAAATTCTCACTAAGTCCCTTGAAGCTCTCATTAAGATCCTTGAGCATCTTTATAACCATTTTGAAACTCTCCGTATTTAGTAGTTTGTTTGCTATCATTTCATTTAGTTTTTTTCTGGAGATTTTTCTGTTCTTTCATTTGTGACATGTTTCTTTGTCTTTGAATTTTGGCTGCTTCCCTGTGTTTGTTTCCATGTATTAGGTAGAGTTTCTATATCTCCTGGAATTGGTAGAGTGGCCTTGTGTAGTAGGTGTCCTGTAGGAATTGGTAGAGTAGACTTCCCAGTCACCTGATCTGGGAATTCTTGGTGTGCCCCTTTGTCGTCTGTGTGCACAGTCTAATAGTTGAGCCTTGCTTTTTGTTG